AAACACAACCAATTCTAGAGTACACCACAACACTAAGAAAAAAAAAATTGTCCTTAGTGGATGCTAGGGAATCAGTTTCCTTTTGTTGAAAACTGGTAGATATAAAGAAGGAGTCAGGCACTGGCTTAAGAAATGATGGTACACCATCATTTTACAGCCTGACAAAAATCTGAAATGCTTCAGAATTTGCAACTTTGTGAGTGCCAGTGTGATGCCACAAGTGGAAAATTCCACCCATGAAATAGTTTCCTGCACAAAATTATAAAGATGCTGTATAAAGTGACCTTCGGGCTATGTGAATAAGGTGGATATGAAACAAGTGAATTTTTTATTGACACATGGGTCCCATCCAAGGTACCTTGTTATGTATACCCAAGTATTCCAAAATCTGAAATCAGAAACACTTGTGGTTCCATGTATTTTAGATAAGGGATACTCAACCTACAATGAATCTAAGTAAAAATATCAGTGATTACTAACATCAAAAAGAAAGATAGGACTGGGGTGGTAGCTCAATAGTAGAGTGCATTCTTAGCATACAAAAGCCCTAGGTTCCATTCCCAGCACCACCAATAAAAGGAAAGACATGAGCCAGGTATCACTGTACACGCCAGCAGAGGCAGAAGTTTGCAAGACCCCATCTCAACCAGTGGCTGGGTGGTGCATGTCTGTCATTCCAAGCTACATGGGGAAGCACAAATAGAAGGATCACAGTCCTGGCCAGCTGGACATAAAGCAAGACCCTGCTTCAAAAAAAAAAAAAAAAAAAAAACAACACGAAAAGGGCTGGAGGCATGGCTCAAATGGTAGAGTGCCTGCCTAGCAAGCGGGAGGCCCTGAGTTCAACCCCCAGTATTGCCTCCAAAAACCAAAAAGGCCAACCATGTATTAAAATCATTTAAAACAAAACAAAACACCCAAACAATACACAAATGGAGATACATGAATCTATTATGTGTTCTTACAAAAACAACTAAACTAAATCTGATCTGGTCTTTGATCTTAAACACTAATTCACAGATTCTAAGACAATTACAAAGCCTATCAACCCATTGCAACTCATGGAACTTGCTTAAGTCTGAATCTAAAGAAAATAAATAAAAACAAAAACAAAAAAACACACAAAAAAGCCAATGAGATGGAATACAATGACAGGCTATTTGTTTATATTATTATTTTTAAGTGTGATGATAGAAATGTGGCTGGGTGGTATTTAAAGCTTTTGGTCTTTTAGTTATATATTTTGAAATATCTCCTAATACAATGTCTGAAGTTACTTCCAAGTTACATGATACATATGGAGGCACTGGCAAAACACTGAAAAGCACCAGCTGGAAATTGTTAAGTCTGGGGGTGCTGGCTTCTATGGCATTCAGTGTACTATTCTCTCTGCTTCTGTATGGATTTAACATGATCCATGGTAAAAAGAGTTTAAAACAGTATTGATTATACATCCTTAATTGAAGATATCTTAAGATTTTGTTTGAAGTCAGGGTTTCATGCTTCCTAGGCAGGCATTCTACCACTGGAGCCACTCTGCCAGCCCAGCACTATTATCACTTTTGAAACAGTTTCATAGATATTGAAGAACAAAGCAAATAATTATGCTAATATGACTAGGGACCCAAAATTTCAAAATGATGGATACAAATATAAAATGAAACAAATGTAAATCCTTCAATATTTGACTTGGAAATATCAGCATGAACATACTTATTTCTGAAAAGTAAATATTTCCTAGCTACACCCACAGAAAAGACCTAAAAACAATGACCAACCCTGTGTCAGCCTTACACTTAGATTTTGGCCACTGACATGTTCCAGAGACTGTTGGAGAAATGACTAAGTCTTTCCTAAGGCAGGAAAGTTGTGAGATGAACTTGAGTTATCTTATCATGCCAAAAATGAGGAAATACCAAAGGGAATAGGAATACCAAAGGAGGCTGGTGGAGTGGCTCAAGTGGCAGAGTGCCTGCCTAGCACCGGGCCCTGAGTTCAAACCCCAGTACCACCTCGCCCCTCCCCCCAAAAAAGAACACAGGAAACACATTGAGGCAGGTCCTATTGGTCAAAGATGGGACGACATGAGCCTCAACAATAGTACTAAGTTCAATGGAAGATGTACAAAATCCATGAATTCATAATGATACTGAATAAAATAATCTCATTGGTCACTCTTGATGAATGGTATAGCACCATCTCCTTATTCTAAAAATTCACAAGTGATGGAAAGAACCATTTATTATGTTTTTCTTAGACTAACCAATGGTTATTTCAGTATAACCAACTAATTGATGTGGAATTTCTTTTTATTTATGGAAGAATCATACTAAGTATGGAAAGAGTGTTAGCAGTAAGAAGCCATAATTTTATAATAGCTCACATGTAGAATCTAAGCAATGATCACCAATGGCCTAGGTCACAGGTTGATGGGAAAGCTTACAACAGATGGATCAGGCTGGCACCACTGAACCCACTGATCAGTATTAATACCAACAAAGTGGAAAGGCAGGCATGAGCCACATGGGGTGCCACAAGAGGACACAGCTCCATCTGGGACTTCATCTTGCCAAAATAAAGAAAACCTGATCTAATCAAGCCTCCACATCTTTGCAGCTTACAGAGAAAAGAGGACAAAGAGGAACTTAAATGCACTGAGGATACAGTCAGCCAATTGCAGAGTGTGGACAACTTTGCAGGGTAAAAAATGACTTCATAGAAGAACAGCATTAAAAAAAGAGGGGACTGTTAAGAGTTAGGAGAAACTTCAGAGACATAGTAATGAAATGCAATTTGTTTATTTTATTTCTATCCTGATGAAATTAGGATAGAAATAAACCAACAGGAAAAAAGACATTTTTTAAGGCAATTGGGGTACATTGCACATGGACTGGGTAATTGTGCTGGATATTATGGTATTATAATAAGTTGTTAAAAAGTCCTACTTCTCTTGGGAGGTGGAGATTGGAAAGATTGCAGTTCAAGGAAAGCCAGGGGCAAAAGTTAGGAAGACCCCTACCTCAAGCAATATGCTGGGTGGGCATGGTGCGTGCACCTGTGGTACCAGATACAAGGGAAATCATAACTAGGAGGACAGTCTGAGGTTGGCCTTGGTCAAACAGTTGAGACCCTACCTAAAAAAAGAAAAAACAAACAAACAAAAAAACTAAAGCAGAAGTGGGTGTGGCTCGAGTGGTAAAGCACTTGCTTAGCAAGAGAGGCCTGAATCCAAACCCCATTACTGCCAAAAAAAAAAGTTCTATTTCTTAAGAGCTACATACTTAAGTATTTACAGGCAAAATGAGAATCTCTGACACATGCTTTAAAAATACCCTGTGGCGGGGGGCAGGCATGAAGGGAAGAGGAAATAAACAAAATGGCAGAATGCTAATTGTGAAGGGGGGGTGTAGCTCAAGTGGCAGAGCAGATGTGAGCCTCTGGGTTCATAGAGGTGGAGGGAGGAATGTTAATTTTCTGTTTGAAATTTTTCATAAGTTGTATAGAACTTTTTTAAAAAGCAAAATGAGCCCTTGCACAGGTGTTAACTGTACCGAGCACTTTGGAATTTAAAGAACAAGAAAGCCAGTCAAGATTGAAGAGGTCAGAGAGATGGCAAGACAGGGAAGATTCTGAATTCGACCTGAGCCTAGTATGAAGGGTGACAGAGATGGGAAAGGCTGGTGTTGCTGAAATCCTCCCAGGTGCAGGCGGGTGAGTTCTCTTATGCTCTTGCTGTGGATGATAGTGGGTGTTTGCTCCATAATCTTCTGTGAGCCCTTGGAGAAAGGAAACACCCCCACTTTCTTGCACTTGGTATTCTTCCTGTCCCCTTCCCCATCCTGGAATGAACTAGAGCCTAGCCTAGTCCCCTCTGACAATCACCAGAGTGCTTGTCTATGGCACCACCTGCTGGTGGATTCTGGGAACTGAAGCTGTCAAAAGCTAAGGGTCCCCATGAACAGGGAGTTGATTTTAGAGAGATCTGGTCAGTACCCCTTAGAAAAGACACACATGCTAATCAAACATATAAGAAGCCTTTAATTTCATCACCATAAACATTATACTCTGATTGCTCACATACAGTATAAAATATTTACTTTGCTAAATAAATAAGACGTAACATTGCAAACGGCACTTAAACCCCAAGAGATGAGAGCTCTTTGGCTCACGCAGGGGGTGCTCCTGAGTTTTTGTGAGATTCCCGAGCACAAATATGCCCTGGGGGCTGAGATGGACAGGGGCTCGAGGAACCACACTTGTGCTTCTGGTCCTGCAGTAGCCCCACAGAGAGGTTGTGGAGCCAGTGGGGAGAGTGAGGGTGGAAGGCAGAAGGAAGGGCAGTGACTTGATTGGCCCAATCCTACAGGGAGCAGAGGGAGTCAGGAGAGCCAGGCTGGGCCAAGAGAAAAGAGGGTGCTAAAGAGGCACCACCTCTTCCTTCCCTCAACCCTCAGCCTTGGTAACATCTGGAAATCAACTGGGGTGAGTAGAACTTCCAAGACCCTGGGCTAGGAAGTTTTGGGGGCCAGGCCCATCACCCCAGGAGAAGGGGATTCTGGCAATGGTCAGCCCATGACCAGCTATTTTAGGGGACTCAGTTCTTGGGGAATCCCACCCTACCCAACTCCTAGATACCAACACAGAAAAGTCGGGAATGGATTTTCTTTCTTGTTAAATAAATAAATTAAGTATTTAAAGGCCTGTGTCCTCATGATGGCAACCCAAAGACCAACAAGCCATGTCCTGATTAAAGGTGGGGGCAAGGGAATCAGCAGGAAAGTAGTGCCAAACTGAGGGGGCTGCGTCTTGCCCCTTAGGACCCTTTCCAAATAATTTTTAACCTGTCAAATCCTGTGGAGGAGAGTTTCACACCAGAAACTCCCATGCAAGAGCAATATTGGGGGAATCTGCAGGATAAGGGGACTTGGAAATGGGGGAGTTTATTCAGTTCCCCCTCCCTTCTCTGAGAATGTTTCAACCAAGATGCTAGCTGTTAACCCTGAGTCTAGGTAATCCACCTGCAGAGTCCTGCAATCCAGTGCATGGAGATAATCAAATGCCCTGCCTTCTGGCCTCCCTGCAGAAGTCCAGAATGAAACACACTTGGGAAGTTGCCAGTCAGTCAGCCATAGAGACTGGAAATCTGGGAGAGAAGCCCCAGTCGCCTATCTGTGCAGCTATGCACCTCACTGCCACGAGGTGGCAGCAGAGAGCCACATCACTTGGCAGCAACAGAAACTGAAAGCCCGCCTGGCAACCCTATAGGGGCTGAGAACCAGGGAGGCAGGCCCCTCAGTCAGTGTGTCAGAAGCATTCTACACTGAGTATTTGGCCAAGTCACCCTTGTCAAATACTACCTGTGTAGCAAAGTAAATGGCAACTAGACCCAAGCCTGCAGCTGACACCATGTAGGCAGTAACAGATTGGCTGAGCTGGACAATGGACCCCATAAACAGGGATGGGGCCACTTGGGACAGGAGGAAGGCACTGTCCAGGATGGCGAGGTCCAGGCAGATGCCCCGGCCAGGAACGACCCTGGCCTCAGTTGGCTCACCCACTACCACTCGCATGGAGACCTCACAGGCAGAGGCTCCACAGAGCGCAGGTGGAGCTGGCAGCAGGCCACTGCCTCCAGCACCCATGTGTCCATTGGGGAATGGAACTCCTGGCTTAGGGCCTGGCAGGAAGCTGGTTGTCAGGCTGTCCTCATTGCCACCACCTGCAGCGTCCCCTCGATATTTGGGCAGGAACACCTGGGGGAGTGAAAAGGAGGGGACAAAGACAGGTATGTATCAGGCACTGGGATCCCAGATAAAAGAAAAAGGTCCTTAGCTTCCTTTGTCCCCAGAGGCTGGAAGAAACTAGGCAATGGGCTTTCATGAAAATCAGGAAACTGAGAAGACCCTACTTGATTTGGATCCAAGCAGGACCCTCCTCAAAACTGGGAAAAGCATGATGGGGCGAAGGGGGAACAAACTGGAAACAAGAAAAGCCCAGACTTCCTCTAGCTTTTCCTAGAATGGGCAAGAAGCAAATTCAGTACTGCAGGTGTGGAAGAGAGGAGAAGGCCAGGGTAAAGAAACAGACAGGAAGCATGAGACAGGTGAGAAGAGATACACGTAAGAACAGAGGAATAAAATGCAAAGGAGGGGCTCCTGATGGCCCAAACCCCACACAGGCTCTCTGAACCCACTTCCTGCCTGTCTGCTCTCCACTTGGCCATATGAAAATCCCTCTTGCTCTGCAGGAGAGTGGTCCTGCCTCTTTCGGGTCCCAGACCCTGGCAGGAGCTGCTGTCCATAGTGAGGTCTCTGTCCCAGCCTTAGGTCAGAGGAAATCTAGCAACAAGCCCGGGGAAGGGGGAAACAGCAGGTACAGTCCTTTTGGCACCCCACCCCCAGTCCAGCTGCCTAACCCTAAAGCTCTTCTCACTTCCTGCTGTCTGAGATCAGAGAGACTGTGTCTGCTCCACCTCCCTCCCCCTGCCCTGCCTCAATGGCCCAGGGCCTCCTACTGAAGGACAAGGCCAGGTCTTATCCCACACTGTCCCCTGAGCCAGGCAGTGGCCAGCACAGAAGGCTCCTCGAGTTGGTTGCACCAGAAACCTAGGAGCCATGCAGAGTTCCAACCCAACTCCAGGGAAGCCCACAAGTGGCAAAAAAAAAAAAGGCAGCCAATGTGCAGAGTCAGGTCTGCCCTTGACTGCTGCTGGGAAAGAACCTCTGGGGACCTGTCCTCACTCACTGCCCGCCACCCCAGAGAAGACCAGTGAGGCTGGAACCTGAAGAGATCCCTGGGGACTGACATGTTCCTCAGCACAGAGGAGAGAACTAGTCTCAGCCTGTCCCTGGGCACGACCTCACATGCTCAAGCCTAGCCTCTGGACGCCAGCCCCTAAACCCCCAGCAGCAGAAAGGTAGAGATTCAAGAGATTATCACAGGGCCATAGGGGTCTGAGGAACCAGGTTCCCTCTATCAAAACCTCAGCCCTGCCCCCTCCTCACTTCTCATCCCTGCTGCCTGCCAAACAAACGAGACTCCTACTAATCTATCTGCTATGGATGCATCTCCTATGGGGCAGAAACAGGTCTCCCTACATTCTGGAAGCCCTCTGAGGGCAGGCCTACATCCAGCTCTCTCCACACACTCCAACTCATGCCCCTTGGAGCAGAGTTCAGCATCCAGGGTTATAAGCCCACCGAGGCCAGTACAGGGGACAAGGGTGACCATACTGCCTGGACCAGGAGGGCCCTGGCAGGGCTGATAAGTGTGGGACTGAGTGGGAAGGGGGCTCCTGATTTATAGAGTGTGCAGGTGAGTGAAGTCAGTATGCCAGGCTCAGATATCTGCTGAGGGGCAGGGGAAGGAGTCAATGGAGGGAGGCAGAAAAAAAAAAATTAGAAAAGGAAAATAAACCAAAGGCGGGGGGGGGGAGGGTGGAGGAAGGGACAGGAGGGAGCGTTCCCCATCTTGGAGCAAGGCAGGGCACAGGACAGTCATGTTGCCTCTCCCTGACAAGGACAGGGTGGCTAAAGTCAGGCCATCTCACTGCCATCTACTGGCTGGACATCAGATCCTGACCCTGCCTTCTGGTACAGCAACCAGTGAGGACAGAGAGCTTCCGCCCATCTGATTCTTCAGGACTCCCAGTGAAGGACTTTGCATTTCCTGCAATCATCCACTCCAGTGCTTTATAGTCTCAAGGCCAGGAAGTGATTCCCAGAATCTAATCTATGTTCTCCTTCCGCAGTCCCAGCCTCTGGCCTAGGCCGAGATGGGCTTCCTCTCTGATAGAGAAAACCTTCTTCAATGACTTTCGCCAAATGTCAGCTTCGGGACTGGTCAGCCTGTCCCCCACCCATTCCCCATCCGTCACTGGCCAATGTGAGTACCTGTTTCTCGCGATGGTAGAGGGAAGCCAGTGTGTAGGGCAGGATCTGCAAGGCTGAGAAGGTGAATCCAGTGAGGGCAGCTGAGATCGTCACCACGGCCACACTGCGAGACAGGCATGTGGCACCAGCGGCCACTGGGAAAGTCACCACACTGGCCAGATAGATGGCCCGGGTGCCGAACCGTTGCACCAGCCGGTCCATGACCAGAGAGAAGAGCAAGGAGATGGTGCACTGCAGGAAGAGCCCCAGACTGCCCATGCGAATGCCTGGAAAGTGGGGGGAGAAGGGGTAAGGGCCTACGCAATCTCGGGGGGAGCCAGGGGGACCCATCTGCAGCCACAGGAATCTAGGTTCTTCCAAATGTGGCCAAAGGGCAGAGGAAATGTTCCAAAAGCTGAGACAAGGAGCCTCAGCTTTGGGGACAGAAAGATTAGTAGGGACACAGACACAGGTCCACTACAGGCCTCAAGATGGCATTCTAGAACACCTGACCTGGAAGGTCATGGTGAGATTATTTGGAAGACTGGCAGGGGGCAGAGGGTACACCAAACTGGAGCCAGACAGACCTCAAGTCCAGCCTTGGCTTCTTCTCTACTCGTGCTGGACGTGTGTACAGTCCTGGGATTTGAACTCAGGGCCTCACGTTTGCTAGGCAAGTGCTTTTGGCCGACCTTGAACAAGCCTTGCTTGTCTTCTGTCAACATGAGGCAGCGAGTCTAACTGACCTCTGAGCAGCCTGAGGCCCTGCCAGGGCTGCAGGGGTAGCTGTTCAACTCCCGTAAGGAGCCACAGGCAGCTAGGCTCCCCTTTCCTTTCCTGACAGGGAAGTTGGGACCCAGGGAGTGAGCATCTCCCAAGCCTGGAACATCCACTGGAGGGCAGCTCCCACAGCAGCTTCCACTGGCTGTTGAGGGCTTACCTTCATCATAGTGTCTTCGTGCGTCAGTGCCTGGCTCAGCTCTTGGCACTCCCTGGTACAGCCCCTCGCCCACAAAGTCCGTGTAAAACAGCGTGAAGGTCATGAGTGCCATCCAGCTGCACAGCTCAGCCACAAAGAGTCGGCGTAGGGCATGAGGCATGCGGCAGCACAGCTGGTGCAGCCGGGGAAACAGGGTGCCCAGGTTTCGGAAAGCCAGGCGGGCACGGCATGGGCAGCAGGGGTGTGACACAGAGGTGGCCGACAGCCCTTCCACTGGCTCAGGTGGGCCCAACACTGCCTCCTCAACCACAAACAGAGTGGCCACCATGCAGGTGAGGAAGATGAGTGTGAGCAGACCGAAGAGGCACTCCTCCTGGGTGCCCAGGTAGGGGGCCAGGGCGCTGGCATCCCAGTCAATGGCGGGGAGGAGGTAGCCCAGGCAGCCCCCGAGGCTGATCATGAAGGCGTAGACAGAGAAAGCCTGGCGGCAGTGGTCTGGGTCCCTGAAGAGGTCTGAGAGCAGGGCCTCCAGTGGAGTGAAACACACCTGGCCACAGAAGTCCAGTAGCCCCACGCCCAGGATCAGCAGCGCCAGCTCTAGGGGCCTGGCATTTGGGCACAGCAGCCCTGCCAGCCAGCCAGCCCGCGGGATGAGAAAGAGGCTTAGCAGGACTCCCAGGGACAGGGCCCAGATGAAGGGCCTCCGGCGGCCATAGCGCCCACGCCACTGGTCACTGGCTGAGCCTAGGAGTGGAACAGATATCAAGCCCAGCACCGGCCCAATGCCTACAAGAAAGATAAGTAGCACAAGTCAATGGCTGGGACAAAACAGGGGCCAGGAAAAAGGGGCGCGAGCTGCTTGAGAAGGATGGAAATAATAATGTCACACTGAAAGCAAGCTCTGTGCCAGACACTGTGACTGTACCCAGTCTTCATGAATATTACAAATGCCCCCATTTTCATATGGAGAAACTGAGGCATGGAGCACTTGAGAAGTGACACTTCTACAAAGACACAGAGCTAAGAAGGGCAAGAGGCAGGGTTTCACAGGCAGCCGAACTCCAGAGCCTATCTTCCGACAGGGCCGCCTCTTCCTAGGGAAAGAGGAGGGGTCACAATGGTGACTGTTTCCTTCTACAGTTTCCGCAGAATGCATCTGCAGCATCAGAGGTCCACCCCCTGCCCCATGCAGGGGTAAGAGCAAGCCTTTCTTCCCTGCAAAGTGGATAAGCCTGAAGGGCTGGTGTGAGCAGTAAGTGAGATATTGGCTGTTATGAAATGCCTGCCCACCAGGCCCAGGAACAGGACATAGCCACCACACCCTCCGAGCAGCTCTCTAGGCAGAGGAACAGCTGCACAACATAACTGGAGCAGCAGGGAGGGAGAGGGAGTGACTCACCTAGCACCATAGTCATGAACTTCTCCTCTACCCCCACTTCCAGCAGAAGGGGTGGCACATAGGTGATCCCTGCAGCCAGACACACCTCTAGGCCGAAGGTCAGCAGGTTGACCAACAGGAGCTGAGCTTTCCGATGCCGAAGCAGGCGGCTTACCCACAGCCTCTGGACCATGGTTGGCCAGGCAGGAAGGATGCCAGAGGCCGCTCACCAACTCCACAGTTGCTGTGTCTCAGCCCTGCTCCAGAAGCCACAGTCTCTCCTCCTTGCTGCCACTGACTGTCTAGGATTCAGCCAGACACCCATTTCTGCCAGTCCTCTCATGCAGGTCCAACGTCTTAGGCCAGGCTAAACACCTGTTGCTGTGAAGTGCCTCGATGGGGACACATCTCGTCACTTAGATCCTAAAAGGGCAGGACAATCAGAGGTACACGGAGCGTTAGGTCCTGGGAACCAGGTCTCCAGGATTTGCTCAGAATGCTCTGAATCCTGTTCATTCACAGGCTGGTGATGTGGCTGTACCCTTAGGTGCCACCCCCAGCTTCCCAGTCAGGAAATGCATGTTAGTGTTAGCTTAAGGCTGACATAATTAATAAGGTAAATACGATTTTTAAACCTCAGCATACCCCAGAGCCAAACATATGTCAGCTACTCTCTGTTTTGCAGGCTGTTGCCTGCAAGGATGGAAAAAAAAAAAAAGAAAAAGAAAAAAAGTCAAGCCAAACCAACTGAATATCCAGACCTGGCTATCAAGGTGCCCCTGGCCAGGTGCCAGTGGCTCACACCTGTAATCCTAGCTACTCAGGAGGCAGAGATTAGGAGGATCGAAGTTTGAAGCCAGCCCGGGCAAATAGTTTGCAAGATCCTATCTCAATAAAAACCTTCACATAAAAGGGCTGGTGGAGTGGCTCAAGGTGTAGGCCCAAGAGTTCAAATCCCAGAACCACAAAAAAAAAAAAAAAAGTGCCCCTGGAGACTCTCCATCAGACCTCTTTGCTTTTCTTTCTTCCTCCCCAAACTGACCTGCTCAATTCCCCTTTGTCACCTCCTGGCCCTGGGCCCTATTGCAACATAACCTCTACCCCCAGGACAAGGAGAAGGGGAAGGAAAGGTTGTGGTTTGCAGGGTTTCGACCTGTTGTTTGAACACTTACACAGAGCAAATCTGGAGAACTAAGGCCTGAAAACCATTCCTTGAGTTTCTCCCCAAGTTCAATGCTCTTGGGGAAGCAACAGTCCTGCCCACACACAAACTGTCCAACTCTCACAGAACATCAGGGCAATTCCCAGGTCCCAGCCTCACAGGGGCAGGAAAGAGTTGACTGGATGCTTTGCCACTTCCTGGGCAGCCTTTCTCTGCTCCCCAGATGGCTCCTTTCTAACAGAGATATTCCTACATGCCAGAGAAGTTCTGTCCTGCCAGCCCTGCCACCCATGTGCAGGGAAAACACCCTCAACAGTGGCCTCCAGATCTTGCTTCCTGACAACAGCACTCACTGCTGTCTGCTCTGCTTAGAAGTGACTATGAAGGCGGGAAATCAAGTTAGCCATCAGAGGAACAGAGGGTGGACTTTTGTCAGAAAAGACATCATAATCTGTCATCTACCCCAAAACATTAGCAGGGGACAGAACCTCCCACCACTGCAGGCCACAGTCTTTCCTTTCCTCACCAAATTCAACCCCAAAAATGCTGCTGAAGAGCAGCTACTCGGGATCAGAGACCATAGTGACAGAGCACTGTCTCCAGTTCAGTCCCCTCCCCCACCCACTGGACAGTGACCCCCCTCCCCATCCCCTCTGCCAATCTCAGCATCATACCATAAAAGGCATAAAAGGCCCTTCGACTTCTTTTATCTTTTCAACTAACACTAAGCCCCATGGGGCCTTGCATGTCACAAAGCATGTCGTAGGTGTTCTCAAAGCTGTGCCTCAGAGAAATCAGGCAGCCATCAAACCTGGATAAGATCTGTCCACTCTGTAAAGGCCTTCTAGGGCTTTGCAGGAAAGAAAAGATAAGGCTGAGCAACAGGCAACCTGGTCCCCAAAGTGCCTACACTTTGGGAAGGAGAGGGGACTCTTACAGGGTTGGCCTGAGAAGGAGTGTAACATCTGATCCACACAGTCCCAAAACGGAGGTGTGAAAACAGACACCAGTCTTAGCTGGGCTGCTGTGGGTTCAACTTGATCTCTCCCCATTGCTGGGTTTCCCAGATTGCCAGAGGAAAGCAAGAGACTGCACAGAGACCAAGGAATGGAGCTACCTAGCCTGGAGAATGGCTCTGAGGCAAATGGCTCCCAGCCATTCCACTCCCCACCCTTGGCCTAGAAGGCCCTGACACACACCTGTACTGTGTTGAAGGGATCAGGCCCTCCCTGAGCAAACAGAGACTTTGTTGGACCCAGCCTCACCCACAACCTGTCCTCATTCTCCAAGTCCTGGTTGCTCCTGTTGAAAATAAATTGTAGCTCTCCAGCAACCATTAATCACTCCACCCGCCTTCCCCTCCCTTAACCCAGATCCTCAGTCCTCTTGGCTATGAGCTGGACTCTTCTTAGCCTACAAGGGGAAAAGGCAATAAGGGTGAGGAGAGGAATTTCTCCATCCTCCTAGAGCCCAGATAGATTCTGATAGATTCTGCCTCCCCCTTCCTTTGGTGCCTCTCTCCACCCCCAGAGATTCTCTACCTGGTTGGAGTCTGGGCCAGGTAAAGAATTCAATGAAAAGAGCTGGGTAGGAAGTAGGAAGGCGCCCAGCCCTGCAGCCACCCCTCTGTTCTTAGGCTGCAAGAGCCCATCTTACTCTGCTCTGGTGGTCCAAAAACTCTTGACAACTCCAGACTTTACTCTTCCAAGCCTAGAATTACCTGCAGAATTCCAAGTCCATAAGAACCCTCCCTTCCAAAGCTGGGTTTTTTTACCCACAGTGTCCCATCTTCCCCACCATGTCCTCAGGGTAGAGGCAACTACAAAGGACTCCCCAGCTGCCAGCCACTCCCTCCAAGGCCTTCTGCCTGGGGCACCAAGTGAGAAGAGAGGTCAGAGAACAGGTGGCTCAGTACCTCTTTCCAGGCCTCCACTGCCTGCCACAGCCCCCAAGTACACTTCTCAGTACAAAGCTTGAAAGTGACAAGTCACTGCTACCTACCCTCAGTCTAACTCTCTCTCCACTCCACTCCAGTCTCAGATGCTTTGGACCCAAATCCTCCTCCCTTACCACTCCTGGAGCAGTTTATCTGGCAAACAGATCAACAAGAAGAGCCAGACTCAGAAGACTCACCTGGAGAGGAGGGGCAGGAAGAGGAAGAAAGCAGAGGGGTTGATCTCTGAGAAAGGAAAGAAGCAAGCAGCCTTCTAGGCTCAAATTCCAAATATCCCCCCTTCTCTTGGACCCCCTGATGGCTGGACAGCCAGAAGGCCAAAGGAGACTCAAGACCTCTGGAAATCTTCATGGAGCTCTACCTTAAACCATCCTTCCTCAACCCTGGAGGAACAGAACTGAAGCTTAGAAAGCTGAGGACTTTGGGTGAAGCTGAAGAACCTGAATTGTCTATCCAGCTCCAAGCACCCCAACAAGTAGCACCTCCAAGTAGGGCAGGCCAAGGGTTCCTCTGCAGCCCCTCAGTACCTGCCCCAACAAGAAAAGGGACCTGAGAAATGTTTACATAATGAAGGAATGGATGGATGAATGCAGGGTGGATATGTAAAAGATGGGAAAGACTTATGTCCCTCCCCTCACTTAACACCCAACACACACACCAAGGCATTCCAAGCTACAACCCCTGCCCCCATACACACACAGCAACTCCTCAGGTTCAAAGGCAGATGGTGAGTGGCTCAGATGGACCCTCCTGGCCTTGTATGCCCCCACTTCAGACTGGACTCCTGGGCAAGTGGGCAGCACTGGGAAATGAAACTGAGCAACAGGAACAAACTTGGCCTGAACTTTGTCCAAAATTCAAAAGACAGGCTGGAGGAGGCAGAGGAAAAGGCCACCAGAGCCCACTCCCTGGTGGCTCCCTAAGGGAAGGGAGGGTCAGAGGGACACATAAAGAAGCTTTTGAGGGCTTTCAAAGGGGCTCCTGCCTCCCCGCATGGCTGAGGTGGAACTGGGGGGAACAGATTCCCTAAACTGACAGACAGAGGCCAGAGGGAGCCCGGGCTGGGGCAGCCCCCATCCTGGGCCAGTGTCAGGCAGCAATTCTATGGCCTCTTTATGCAAGGCCAGCGTCCCCCACACCCCGCCCAGGGACATCAAACGGTTGCAGCCCCCACCCTGACCCTGCTGGCTCCGTGCGACCCTGCGGTCCTCCCTCCACACTCACAAAGACCACTTCGCTTTCTCACATGCTCCTCGGGAGAGAAGGGAAGCCTGAAGCATGCTTCTCCACCCTCTGTGGCCATCTGCCCTCCCCAGAGAAAGAAAGCAGGCAAGGGGAGGCTATCAAGAAGCAATGACTCAGCTGAAGAAAGGGGTGGGCTCACCCAGGTCAATCTCCTTGATGCACATCCCACCAAGGTGGTTCCCCCACCACCACCACCTCCAACCCCACCCCACCCCACCCCGCCCCAGGCCAGGTCAGAGATGGGGATCCCAGCTTCCCCAAACTCATTCTGAGCTGAGCTCTCCCAGGCCTTCAAGGTTGGAGGCAGGGATGGGCTCAGGTGTGAGGGTTCACCAGCCCAGCACCCCTATTGCCCCAGACTCAGGGAACCAACACCTGGGCCTTGCCTATTAAGCCTGGCACACTGCGCTCCCCAAATGAGCTGCACCCTCCAGGTCAGCAGCTCCAAAAGGCACTTTGGGATACCTTGAGGAGCTCCCCATCAGCCAAGACACCTGAAAACAGTGCCCTGGAGAGGCAGCAGGAGCTACTCTTGGTTAGGGACCTTGGCCTCAGTGGGAACTCCTACCTGGGCCGCTGGGAGGAGGCCCACAGTCTGAGACAATAGGGCTTGAGTGGCTTCCAACCCATTCAGTTTTTGATTCTCTCGGCGCAAATGTTTCCAAGTAGTGAGGGTCTCTGCTTTTCCCAGTCCCACCCTAGAAAAATCCCAACAGTGATTACACAAATAGCTGAGGCCCTCCAAGCTTGCAGGGCTCCCCCAGATGCCGCTTCACCTCCAGGGAATCTCTACCTCCAGGGAATCCTAAGAAAGAATAAGGACCTGGCAATGGGGAGGGGGACCCAGTGCTCCCAAGCTCAGCCTTCCCCAGGGCCTGGGCCCGGAGGCCAGGGATTTAGAGTTCACCCTGCTGAGCTGCCTTTTCTTCCCTTGGACTGGAAGCCTTCTGCTTAGCAGCTTGTCAGAGAGAGTGAGGGGCTGCAGGCCGGGACACAAAGGGGGATTAGGGAGAAACCTCTCAGCCTGCAGAGTAATCCATCAAACTCTCTCCCGGCTGCCAG